ATAGTAGGAAGTATTTTAGGCTTTGTAGGCCATAAAGTCTCTCTTCCAGTTCCCAGCTCCCATTACATGGTGAAAGCTGTCATAGACAATACAAAAGTGAATAAACTTGTCTATACAACTTTACTTATAGATACCAGAATTTGAAGTTAATGTAACTTGTATATGTCATGAAATATTGTTTCTTTTGATTTTTAATGTAAATCCTTTTTTAGTTCACAGGCTGTGTAAAAGCAGACTGTCCTGTTGGGCTACAATTTGCTGATGCCTTCTTCTTTCCCCTCCTCTACTCTCCCCTCCCTTTCCCACATATGTATGTATGTTAAATACACAAACACACACACACACACACACACACACACGTACGCACACACGTTGCTTTTCTCTGGGGGGGGCAGGGATTGAACTCAGGACCTTGAGCTGGCAGGCAGCGGCACCACTGAGCTAAATCCCTGGCCCTGATGCTTTTTTGTTTTGCTTATTTTGCTGCTTATCATACACTATCTTCCATTAGTGTGTTTATGTTTTAGTTACTTTTCTGTCATTCTGAGACAAAATACCCAACCCTCACAAGTTAAGGGAGGAAAGGTTTATTTGGCTTACAGTTTGTGAGGTTTCAGTCCATAGTTGGCTGTCTCCATGGAAGGGTGGCACAGGGCAGAAGGGTGTGGCAGAGGAGGAATAGTACATTGCACATAGGAGACAGCAAAATCAACAAGGGACCTTAGCTGCTTCTTTCTGCTCCTTTTATTTTGTCCCGACTGCTTAGGATGGTAGCACTCACACCCTTAATCCTAGTGCCCTGAGCCTAGCACTATACCATGAATCAGTTCTAGGGCCACACACTCTAGATGCAGCTACCCCTGAAAAAACCCCACTTAAGATCACATGAGGCTTTGAGGGGACATCTAGACACAAAACATAATAATATATAATCTGAATTTTTCTAATATTACATTTTTAGGTAGAGAGGATAAGACCTATGAGTTTGGCCTCTTGTACTTTATAAAATTATATACTTAATGAGTATTTGGGAGAGTGGCAGAGGAATAATACCTCTCCTCCAATATTTGAAATGATGTTAGGCCAGTGCCTTATTTTATCTGCATTTTGAGAGGGTCTCACTGTATTGTTCAGGCTGGGCTCACTGGGCCCTGTAGCTGGGGTTACAGGGCAAACCACTGTGCTGGCTTTTACAACTCTTAAGTAGGTATTTTTCTATCATTTTACAAATGGAAAGTCTTAGATATCTCAGGTTTAAATAAGAGTGTGATGGAGCAGAATCTGAACTGAAACATGTTCTTTCCTTGCACTTACACTAAGAAATATTTGTCAATGAACCAGGCTGCCTTAATCAATGGCTGCTAGCCTGTTGCTACAAGTTTTTACATGCAGCCTGTATGATACATAACATTTTTTAAAAAGAGAAGTTATAATGTTGAATTGAAATGATACAGGGGAAATAAATGTAACTTCCAACCTGCCGGATGTCAGATACACCAGTTTGAATTCACCAAAATGGAAGAATGAATTTTAAGGAACAGTGGAGATTAAGGGTAGGAAATATTTTATTGAGATAGAGAGATAGCTCTCAAGAGACAGCAGGAGACCCAAAAGTGGGCTGCCAATGAGCCCTCTTTCTTCTCAAGGAAGTTTTATAGAACAAAATCACAAGGAGGGTACAACATGGGTCAAAAATATGATCAGCCAATAAGATTACAAGTATAGCTGCTTAGGTAATGTTGATCCAGTAGAGAAACAGTTCACACAGTGACTGTACATGAAAAGAACAAAGACCTTTTTAAGAATCAAGAGGTCCTGGTCACTCACTGATGTCTATCTAGACTTTATTGGACCAGGTGATACCCATTATAGTATATTGGTTATCTCTTAGGGAGGCATGCAGGCCTCGTCATTTCATTTTATCTTGAGCCTGGGCTTCAAAAGATGCACCTCCAGCCACCTTTAATATGTTTTATCATCTGTACTGACCACCAAGCCCACCCTCCGTCTGACTACCTATAATACTTCTGCCTAACTTAGCTTTCTATAATAGAAGGACCTTCAAGATAAACTTTCAGATTCTTTGAATGTATGATAACAGAGGGCTTGTTTTTAAATGACAAGTAAAAAGCAGATGTTTTTCTAGTGCATAAGTTTAAACCTTTTTTTTTTAACTTTTTTTTACACCTTTCTTGAAAACTGTTACTTCACCAAAATAAATTAGAATTACATGATGGAATAATGAAGAATGTCAGTAAAATTTCTATCAAGCCATATGTGTAGTAGAAGCCAGGGATTAAATTAAATCTTAAACTGTTCATTTGACCAATTTGCTTGAAAGAAATGGAAGATTGAGTCAAGATAAATAAAGGTTAAAAATATAAATGAAAAAGTCTGTGAAAATTTAAGACTTGATGAGTTTCTTCCTTGACTCAGTTTGAGTGTCTGCTCTGCAGTGGTGCTCAGGCTGTGAGGGGATGCAGCAGAGCTGTGCTCAGGAGTGGGGGGGAACAAGGCAAGGGTGGGGGAGGTCAGTGGCCTGGTGGATGAGGGGAGGGCTCTACAGGGAGCCACTTCTCAAGGAGGTGATGTCTGACCTTCTGTCTTTCCCCTCTTTATTAACATTAAAAATTACTTAAAATGAGTAGTTAAAAACAGTGAAATACTCTAGAAGTATTAGTGAAAAGTGCAAATCCTTTTCTAGGTGTGGTGGTGCTTCCCTGTCAAGCCAGCACTTGGGAGGTTGAGTGAAGCAGGAGGATCAAGTGTTCAAGGCCAGCCTGGACTACATAGAAGTCTCTGTCTCAAAAAATAAAACAAACAAACAAACAAACAAAAAAAACCAAATCCTCACTTAGAGTTTCTAATCTTCAATTCCTATTTTCCAAGTTAATAGATTAATTGATAAATATGCTTCCAGTTATTTTCCTATGTGTGTCTAAACAGTTTTTGTCCAGCACAAAGTTGGACTTCCACTGTATATAATTTTGTAACTTACTTTTCCCCTATGTAATAATCTATCATGTATATATATTTCCATATCAGTAAATACAGATCAGCCTCACTTCAAACTTTGCTTCCAGCCTGGTGTGTTGGTACACGTCTGTAATCCCAGCAATCAGGTGGTTGTGGCATGAGGATCACTGTGAGTTTATTGCCAACCTGAATTACATAGCAAGACCTTGTCTCAAAAAACAAAACAGAAGTCTTTGTAGGTTGGGAAGGGTTGAAGGAAGGTCAAGGGAATGGGGAAAAAATAAGAACCAAGATAGGTCATTTAAAGGTACTAATTTCCAACAGTGAATGTCATTCATTATATTGTATACATTAAATGTACCAATAAAATTAATAAAAAAATCAACAAAACAACAGCAACTTCCTTCATAATGGGATGGATACACCATTTATTTATATTCTTTATTGTTGGGCATCTGGGTTTCAAGATTTTATAGTGAATATCTTTGTGTGTGTATATGTGTGTGTGTGTGTGTGTATGTGTGTGTGTGTGTGTGTGTGTGTGTGTGTGTGTGTATTAGCTTTCACAAGTGAATTGTTTACATGATGAGTAGGTGAAGGAAGTGAGGTAGAAAGTGAAGAGGAAATGTTTCCTAGGGAACATTGTCCTTGAAAAACACTGCTGAAAGCAATGGCCTACTCTTAGGAGTGAAATGTTTCTGCTTCTATGCTGCGGTGTGCCACCTCCCATTTTATGGAAGCCCTTTGCTGGATCATCTCATTTTATAATGGCATTTCTTTACTAAGTACAGTACTTTGTAGTTAGTTTCTTACTTTGGAGATTTACAGGCTTTAAAAATAAATGTCACCAGACAGAGAAGTAGAATCACAAGGCAGTAAGGTAATTATGCAACAGTCACATGGAGGTAAATGGGTTGTTGTGGAAATGGAGTTTATATAATAGTTGTTTTTCCCTAACTCTGTTGCCTGAAAATATTTTATGCAATATTGCAGCTATCTTTTTTTGAGTTGCTACTTTTCTGCTACTATACATTTAAAACAAATTTAAAACTTCTTAAAATAGCCATTCTAAAACTGCAGGTTCATTAGTTGGGTACATGAAGATGCCCTAGAACTGAGGATGTAGCTCAGTGGTAGGGCACTTTCCCCGCAAGCATGAAGCTCTGGGTTCTATCTCCAAGCACCGCAAAAATGAGAAGGTAGCATAAATGACTTAAAGGAGATGAACTATATATTATTGTACATTATTCTTAACATACAATCTTATTATCTTTGAAAGGTTTTAGTTGCTGCTATTTTGCTTGAGACAATTTCCCAGTTTTTTAATGCTGCCCTGTATTGTAGTATCAAGTGCTACATTTAATTGCATCATTCTTTGTGGTCAGTAAGACTATCTGGCTTACTATTTAGTTTCTACTCTTTGCATAATCTAACTTTTGCTAATTTTTCTGTGTTGAAATTGTATTTTTGTGAGAGTAGTCTAAAATTTAGCAATACTTAATTCTGATTTTTAATAAATTTAGCTCTTGTGGAAACAAAATGATGTATTAAAAATAGGTAATAGCTTTCCAAACTATCTCTAAAAATAATATCCTCTTTTGATTGTCAGTAATGCTTTGCTGTTTGTTTGCATGTGCTTTGTTGTCTAGAAATCTGATTCTTTGTAAGGCTCATCTTAAAAAAAGTTTTTTTTTGATGGAGGTAAGATTTTGGGTTATTTATTAGATTGTATTCTTTCTGTATTTTCCAGCATCTTGCTTACAAACTCTTATTTATATTTTTAAAATATATGCTAAATAGTTATAAATTATCTTATTAATTTGAGTAATATTAATTTTGTGAGCATATAGCCTAATGTATTCCCTCATTGTTCTAAACAGTATTTGTATTCTCTGTTGTATTGCATGATTTTGAAGCATTTGTTCTTCATTCTGAGGTATTTGCCTTCTCGCTTAGAGTGGAGAGTTACTTTTCAAGAGTAAAGTATATAAACAAATGAAATAACTTATATTTAATTTTTTAGGGCTGCTTTGGAAGAAGTAGAAGGAGATGTAGCAGAATTGGAACTAAAACTCGATAAGGTATACTTTAAGTTTTTAATTTTTAAAACATTCTTATTTTCTATAAAGTATTAGTATCTATAATACTAGTTTATATTATCTTATGTCTCTGTGATGGTAGGTGCTATTGTCTCAGTTTTAAACAAGAAGAAATTAAAGTTAGAGGCATTAAGTAGTTTTTTCTAGGTCAGAGTATATTCTGAGTGCCAGAATAAGACTTTGTATCCATGTCTGACTTCAAAACTGACTTCCTTTAGGGCTGGGGATTTAGTTCAGTGGTGCTGCCGCCTGCCTTACAAGCACAAGGACCCAAATTTGATCCCTAGTACCAAAAAACAGAAACAAAAACTGACACCCTTTATATTGTTGGAAGTTTGTTTTGGGCTTCTTCTTCCAAAAGAGTGTGCCTGTCTTTTTTATGCTGAATGCGTATCACACATACATAGACTGGCCATTCATGTTTATAGGTGTGACCAGGTTTAAATATAAATAAAATATAAAATATTCCTTCCATTTTTAAGGTAATGCCCCCCAAAAAAACTTAGACACTTAGTAATTGACAGTCATATTTTATATAAGGGTAAGTGTACCTACCTCATTTTTACATTTTATATTAATTATTGATACTTCTGGTTATTGATCTAAAAAAGCATTGCCTGCTAAGAACCAGGCAGAAGTATTACATAGAATAAGAAATGACTTTTGCTCCATTTGTTTAGACATTCTTTGGTAACTATTGTTTAATGAAAAATCATTTTAAATTTCTGAAGATACATCACATGAATATATTTAAAATACTGTTTTCTAGAAATAATTTCATATATATATGAATATGAATATATATGTGTGTGTGTATATATATATATATATATTTATATTTATGTAGAGAGAGAGAGAGAGAGAGAGAGAGAGACAGAGAGAGACAGGATATCCCTATGTAGTTCAAGCTGTCCTTGAACTCACTGTGTAGCCCTGTCTGACCTTAAACTCATGGTAATCCTCCTGCCTCAGCCTCCTGAGTGCTGGGATTACAGGCATGTGCCATTATGCCTGGCCCTATTTATATAATTATTGTAAATGACATTGGTTTGTAAAGCAGTGCTGCTTAAAGCTTACTGTGCATAGGAATCATATGAGGATTGCATTTTGTGAAAATACAGATTCTGATTTTGCAGATCAGGGGTACCTGAGATTTCTGTATTCCTAACCAGATTCCAGCTGACTCATAGTGTTAGCTATGAACTGCACTTTGAGTAGCAAGGATATAATGTTTGCTAGATTGAATGTTCTGAGTATATTCTCAAATGTTTTGAAATCACAAATAAATACATTACTATATAGTTAACATAGTATAGAAACTATATAGCACTAATATTAGTTACATATATAAAACAAACCAACAGTTTAGAAAATTTGTTTAGTAATGTTTGTATTATGTCCTCCCTCCCTCCTCCTTTCCTCCCTCCCTCTCTCAATATATACTTTAAAAATTAAAAAAAAAAATTAGTTCTTGTTTTCTGTTTGAGACAAGTTCTCACTGTGTAGTTCAGGCCGACCTTGAACTCCTTATGTAGCCTAGCTGGCTTTGAATTTTTGGTAATCTGCTCTCAGCTGGGGCTACAGATGTGTGAACCACATCTGGCTGTACTCTGTAATTTTCTTTTTTTTATTAAACAGGGTCTCACTGTGTAGTTGAGACTGACCTGGAACTTACTATATGTAGCCCAGGCTGGTCTCAAACTCACAGTGATTCTCTTGCCTCAGCCTCCTGAGTGCTGGGACATGCCTGGCCTATACTCTGTAATTGTTTAAAGCCCTGAAGTACCACATACAGTACCTTTCTGATTTTTACAATGATTCTGTGAAGTAGGTAGGAAGAATGTTGTTATTCCCACCTTATAGATAAAGACCTCAAAGCCCAAGAACACATAGGATACTCTTTATTTCAAATGACAAGAGTTAAAGGGTGCAGAGCAGTTTAGAAGCTCTGTGCTTCTGTGTCCCTCAGGGGCCTCAGGACCCTTGCTGGGGGGCTCATACCACTAAGCAGCTTTCTGAGGTACAGTAGCAAGCTTAAAGACAAGTGTTTTTTAAAAATTATTATTTTAATTTTGGGTAAGTATATTGTTTTCAAATATTTTCCTTTGTTTTCTACTTTAAAATTATATGTTGGTTTTTTAGTTCTATTTTTTTAACCCTAAGGTATTATATTTATTTTCAAGTACTTGATGAAGCAAAATTTTAAACCCATAAGATAGATAACAGAAGATGCAGTTTTGATTTTATATAGATTTATGAGAGAGGATACAGAAGGGCAAGCTTTTTTAGAGAATCCCAGAGTGGGACAATAAAGATAGCGCATGTGTTTATGTACAACTGCATCTAAATCAAGTGGAACACTATACATGGGGTGGGCAGACCTCAAAATGTAAAGTACGTGAACAGGGCTGAGGATTTAGCTCAGTGGTGCTGCCATCTGCCTCAGAAGTGCAAGGACCTGAGTTCAGTCCTGTTATTTAAAAAAAACAAAGTACATGAATAGAATCTGACAGTGTTTTTGCTGATGGTTTTGCTTTTATGAGCCCCCCCCACATTTGATTGTGGTCAGGGTACACTGGCAAAATCTTAAAACCCATGGTCCCAAGTTCGATCCCTGGTACCAAAAAAACCCACAAAAAACCCAAATTTAAAACCAGGAAACTCAGCTGGGCGTGGTGGCGAATGCCTATAATTCCAGCACTCAGGAGGCTGAGGCAGGAGGATCAGTCTCAACTACATAGTGAGACCCTGTCTCAAAAAAAGAAAACCAAGAAATTCAAATCTAAAACAAAAAAACTACTGATCCAGATGTGATAGAATATTTTCGTAGTACTTTCTGGTAATCCCAGTTACTTGGGAGGTGGCAAGAAAATCATTAGTTCAGGGCCAGCCTGGGCAACCTAGGCAAAATAACATGGCCCTGTCTTTAAAAAAAAAAAAAAAAAAGCTGGGGGATTAGGCTCAGTGGCTGAGCACTTGCTTAACATGCCCAAGGCCCTAGGTTCCACCCCTGATACCATCAAAGAGGAAAAGAAAACAACAAATTATAAGGTATTGACGTTCATTGGTAAGAAAATTCTAGGCTCATTTTAGAGTTGACCCAAAGGGCTATGAGGGACATAGAAGAAACTTGACAGCATTTGAAATATCTTCTATTTCTCTCCTTCTGCCCCCAAAGTTCTATACTTTGGTGTTTCTGATCTCTTATAAAATGTGCTTCCCTCAAATTCTTAAGCTATTATCTGTCATTTTTTACTTTAGTACTGTGGCATAGAGAAGAAAGGCTGAGAGAAGCAAGGAGTGGTTGTTATTAAAGGTGTTGACATTGAAAGACTAATGGGGGACAGGGCTGGGTTGCTCTAAAACTAGTTTAGTGATTTCATAACTTTGTGCAAGGCAAGTTCCACCCATAGTATCATTGTAAATAATGCCAGTGACAGGTTAAACTAGCTTGATGACTTAGGTCACACTTACTTTATAATGTATGCTAACAGTAGTTACATTCTAATAATTAATGCTTCCTTAGTGCCACTGTTTATTGAGTCCAACTGCTTATCCATTCTGCAAGGTGTTCTGGCATAGGCAGCATCAGAATGCATCGGAGTTGCCATCTGGATATAATTTTTTGTCCTGTGGAGTCTTTTCACTGGTGTGCTTCTTCCTGTTAAATAGATACCCTTTTATTCTCAGCTCAATTGCTACCAAACTTTGGCTTTGTGTGTGTGTGAGTGTGTGTTGCATTGTTTCTTGCACATTCTTCCATTTAAACTATTAATTGATTGTAATTTTTGGTTTGTAGTATAGTTTAGCAGTTAAGAGTATAAAGCCTGGAGCTGTCTGAATTTGAGTGTGGCACTACCATTTAGTAGCTTCTATGGGTGTGTCATTTCATCCATTTGTCCATCCATCTGTCCGTCCATCCGTCCTCCTCAGAGTTCTTAGGAGAATAAGATGAGATAATACATTTAAAGTGCTTAGCACAGGTGGCACATGGTAAATTCTAAATAAATAATGATCATGCTATAATCACAGCGCTCAGGAGGCTGAGACAGGAGGATTGTTGTGAGATCAAGGCCAGCCTGGGCTACATAGTGAGTTCAAGGCCAGTCTGAACTCACAGTGAACATAGTGGGACCTTGTCTCAAAAAACTAAAAAAGGGCTGGGGATTTGGCTCAGTGGTTCCACCACCTGCCTCGCAAGCACAAGGACCCGAGTTTAATTCCTGGTACCAAAAAAAAAAAAACCAAAAAAAAACAACAACAACAAAAAACCACCACAAAACAAAACAAAAAAAACAAACTAAAAAACCCACATACTGATGATGGTATCTCTTCAGTAGACTACTGGCTTCTTGAAGGCAGAGAGTTTGTTTTTAAAAGAGAAACAAAAGACCCTCATTTGTTGTGCATTTAGGGACACAAAGCCCCTATGTTTACTTATCATTAATCTTCACAGTAATGTTACACAGTTGGTATCATCCCCAATTTATACATGAAAAAATGAGAATTAGAATACAATGTATTCAAAATTAGCAAATAAATGATATCCCTATCATCTGGTAGAGGGCCTATGACATAGTAATTCCTTTCTGGCAGAGGGCCTGTGACATAGTAATTCCTTAGTAAAAAAGTTTTTAAGTAGATGGGTGCCTTAGGGCCACTAGCTTGATAATTCTGACTCACTTGACATTTACTCTTAGGTAAAGGTCTTCCCTCTGTGGACTTCTGTTGTTGGCTGTCGTCTACCACGGCTGAGTCTCAGTCTCTCTGTGCTTGCCTTTCCTTCTTCTCCTCTCACAACTCAGACTTTACCCCTGGATAGCTGCAGTACGTGGGCTTCCACTCAGGACGTTCTTTGGGTCCTGTGCTTTTTCTGACACCCGTTTTCACAGCTGTATTCTATGCCTGTGCACTGCATTGTAATCTCTGAAATCTGGAATGCTGATTTCCTGCTTCTGACTGGAGCCTCTGGTCCTCCAGGT